CTATCTATATCTATTTCTCTCATCCCCCCCCTCTCTTTCTCTCTATCTATCTATCTATCTTTCTTTCTCTTTGTCTATCTATATATATTTCTTTCTTTCCACCCCCTCCCTCTCTATATCTATCTATCTATCTGTCTGTCTGTCTATCTATCTATCTGTCTGTCTATCTGTCTATCTATCTATCTATCTATATCTATTTATTTATCTATATCTATCTATCTCTCTATATATATACATATATATATGCCTATTTATCTATCTATCTATCTATCTATCTGTCTATCTATATATCTGTCTATCTATCTATATCTATTTCCCTCTTTCTCCCCCCCTCTCTCCCTCTCTTTCTCCCTCTCTCTCTCTATCTGTCTATCTATCTTTATTTCTCCCTCTCTCTCCCTTCCACTTATCTCCACCATCTGCTTGACCTCGCCTTCCTCATTCGCGCGGGGAAAAAAGGAAAAAAAATTGGAAGATAACTCGGTTTTCTTGACTTATCTTGAGTGTGTGTGTGTGTGTGGGGGGGGGATTGTGTGTGTGTGTTCCCTCTCCCTTCTCTCCTCTTCCCTCATTCTCCTCTCCTCTTCCCTCTTCCTTCTCTCCTCTTCCTTCTTTCTCCTCTCCTCTTCCCTCTTTCTTCCCTCCTCTTCTCTTCCCTCTTTCTCCTCTCCTCTTCCCTCTTCCTTCTCTCCTCTTCCTCATTCTCCTCTCCTCTTCCCTCTTCCTTCTCTCCACTTCCCTCTTTCTCCTCTCCTCTTCCCTCTTCCTTCTCTCCTCTTCCTTCTTTCTCCTCTCCTCTTCCCTCTTTCTCCTCTCCTCTTCCCTCTTCCTTCTCTCCTCTTCCTTCTTTCTCCTCTCCTCTTCCCTCTTTCTCCTCTCCTCTTCCCTCTTCCTTCTCTCCTCTTCCTTCTTTCTCCTCTCCTCTTCCCTCTTTCTCCTCTCCTCTCCTCTTCCCTCTTTCTCCTCTCCTCTCCTCTTCCCTCTTTCTCCTCTCCTCTCCTCTTCCCTCTTTCTCCTCTCCTCTCCTCTTCCCTCTTTCTCCTCTCCTCTCCTCTTCCCTCTTTCTCCTCTTCCCTCCTCTTCCCTCTTTCTCCTCTTCCCTCCTCTTCCCTCTTTCTCCTCTTCCCTCCTCTTCCCTCTTTCTCCTCTTCCCTCCTCTTCCCTCTTTCTCCTCTTCCCTCCTCTTCCCTCTTTCTCCTCTTCCCTCCTCTTCCCTCTTTCTCCTCTCCTCTCCTCTTCCCTCTTTCTCCTCTTCCCTCCTCTTCCCTCTTTCTCCTCTTCCCTCCTCTTCCCTCTTTCTCCTCTTCCCTCCTCTTCCCTCTTTCTCCTCTTCCCTCCTCTTCCCTCTTTCTCCTCTTCCCTCCTCTTCCCTCTTTCTCCTCTTCCCTCCTCTTCCCTCTTTCTCCTCTCCTCTCCTCTTCCCTCTTTCTCCTCTCCTCTCCTCTTCCCTCTTTCTCCTCTCCTCTCCTCTTCCCTCTTTCTCCTCTCCTCTCCTCTTCCCTCTTTCTCCTCTCCTCTCCTCTTCCCTCTTTCTCCTCTCCTCTCCTCTTCCCTCTTTCTCCTCTCCTCTTCCCTCTTTCTCCTCTCCTCTCCTCTTCCCTCTTTCTCCTCTCCTCTTCCCTCTTTCTCCTCTCCTCTCCTCTTCCCTCTTTCTCCTCTCCTCTCCTCTTCCCTCTTTCTCCTCTCCTCTTCCCTCTTTCTCCTCTCCTCTCCTCTTCCCTCTTTCTCCTCTCCTCTTCCCTCTTTCTCCTCTCCTCTCCTCTTCCCTCTTTCTCCTCTCCTCTTCCCTCTTTCTCCTCTCCTCTCCTCTTCCCTCTTTCTCCTCTCCTCTTCCCTCTTTCTCCTCTCCTCTCCTCTTCCCTCTTTCTCCTCTCCTCTTCCCTCTTTCTCCTCTTCCCTCCTCTTCCCTCTTTCTCCTCTCCTCTCCTCTTCCCTCTTTCTCCTCTTCCCTCCTCTTCCCTCTTTCTCCTCTTCCCTCCTCTTCCCTCTTTCTCCTCTTCCCTCCTCTTCCCTCTTTCTCCTCTTCCCTCCTCTTCCCTCTTTCTCCTCTTCCCTCCTCTTCCCTCTTTCTCCTCTTCCCTCCTCTTCCCTCTTTCTCCTCTTCCCTCCTCTTCCCTCTTTCTCCTCTTCCCTCCTCTTCCCTCTTTCTCCTCTTCCCTCCTCTTCCCTCTTTCTCCTCTTCCCTCCTCTTCCCTCTTTCTCCTCTTCCCTCCTCTTCCCTCTTTCTCCTCTTCCCTCCTCTTCCCTCTTTCTCCTCTTCCCTCCTCTTCCCTCTTTCTCCTCTCCTCTCCTCTTCCCTCTTTCTCCTCTCCTCTTCCCTCTTTCTCCTCTCCTCTCCTCTTCCCTCTTTCTCCTCTCCTCTCCTCTTCCCTCTTTCTCCTCTCCTCTCCTCTTCCCTCTTTCTCCTCTCCTCTCCTCTTCCCTCTTTCTCCTCTCCTCTCCTCTTCCCTCTTTCTCCTCTCCTCTCCTCTTCCCTCTTTCTCCTCTCCTCTTCCCTCTT